GATCCACCACTTTGATATCTCTCCTCCCACTCCATTTCTTGAATTCACAAAACCGATGGCGGACAATATACTCACAAAGAGTTTTTATCACAATTTCGTTTCCAGGCAAAACTTAATACCGAAACTGACCCGTAACTTCTCAAATCCCTAGTCTCTGCAAAGGTCGGGTCTTTCCAACAGTGTCAGTGTTCCCTTCTCCTTATCTAGAACGCACATATTCCTGAATTCATTGTGGAAGTATACAGTTGTAGTTTTTCGTTCTTCTCCTTTGCAAGACCTTTCTCTACCTCCCCCCCATAAACATCACATTTCGAGCTTGGAACAATGCTAGTCCAATTTTCTTTCGATCCCACAATTGCGAGTGCAACCGACATCATTCTTTTTTCAAGACTAGTTTTGCACTCCAAAGAAGATTGACTGCAAAGATATTTTGTTCCCAATGTCTTCCTACCAACTCCTTACTCTCTTATCCGAAAGTGTTATACGACCTCGATCAGATTGTATACCTTCACGGTTCAACTCTTATCGTCTTGGATGTGCTTCCTCTAAGGTAGCCACGAGACTCAGGGTCGTTTTTTCGAAAAATCTTGTTTTCCCATCGCGAACTAGTCACTTAACTTCGTTTAGTCCAGAAGCGCATTTACATAAAGAAAAGTGTTATACTTCGGTGGGAGCCACCCCCAATCTTAATAGCACATCGACCTCTTACCTTCGTCTTATTCCATCCATCGTAACTGCTAGAAGAATACTCAATCTTGTAGACCCTCTCTAACTTCCTCGATCTTGACTCTGCCCATCAAACGAGATGCAATGCCTTATTTGGAATCCGACTTGTCATTTGTTGATGACCACTTGACCCTGGTAAGATAGTCGTTTTAGAGTTTTCTCCTTCCTAGCATACGGATTAAACTTTTGTGTACCTTATCCTAAATTCAGTTCCTCTGAAGAGCAAGAAGACGAATTCCTACGCTCGCATGAATCGGCCCTTAGCTTATCGAGTACCCTAGATTCACAGAGACTTGACCGAAACCTCAATCTTTGTCCTTACCTTCCTCGGTTGATTGTATTCTGGTAAGACGATTTGGGTAGTTTTTTTTTCTTCTTTTTTTTAGCTCAACATCAACCAACTTGTTTGCTTACCCGACCCTCCTTTCCTCAAGCGATTTAGACTTAGAAAAGGAGGTACTCAAAATCTTAATCCATTTATTCAATGCTAAGATCGGAGGGAAGAGTAATCTCCTTCAGAGAGATTTAGAAGGTAACATTAATCGAATGCAAAGAAATGAGGAAGACTTATTCAACGAATCTCGATTCATCATCTCTCCTGACCTTTTGCAACTCTCACAATGACTTAGCAACAACCCAACTTTCATTCACCTATCCTCCCCTTATCGATAGCCGAGGTATCATCTCCTTCGTAACGTGCAAGGCTTTGCCTAATCGAATCCTTCTTCGAATTTCCCCAACTAACCCCAAAAATTGCTCTGCCGGTGCGATATAGTTTTTAAAGTCTTTCCCTTCCCGTCGAAGCCACCCCCGTAAGATCTCTGAGGGTTGGGCGGCCCCTGGTCGGGCCGCCATACCAAAGACCTAACTCTTCCTTACAGCGAAATATATATCTACCTCTCACGCTCTTCTGGCCCTCTCTTCGCAAACTCGATCGGATTTTTTCTTGCGACGATTCCCACTAGGGTACAAAGGAAACTTCAACCTAATTCTTCTTGATCTCTTCATCGTGAAAGCAACTAGACTTGTTCATCCGCAAGCCCTAGGTAAATTTCGCACCGTCTTCGTTCTAACATGATTAAGTTCTGCACCCCTTGACTTAGAGCCACGTACCAGGTGGCCCAGGGCTTTGAAAATAAAGATCTTCATGACTTTACTTGTATCCTTGTAGAGTAATTTAGTCCTTTACTCTCCTACCCTTAATCTCCTATCTGCCTCCCACCGCCCCCTCCCTTAAACGTTGCGAATAATTTGCTCTCAATCAAGATCAGGTACCCCTCCCGGCCTCCCGTGGTTCAGACACTTACCTCAAAGGCTCAACCCTAAAGAAAAAACGATTCGCCCTGAGAAACAAGGGAAAAAACGTCTGAGCCCAATAGTCACAGCCTTGCCGCCCACCGTGCAGGAATATGCCACTCAGCTCAGTGTGTACGGCAAGCGGAGAAATAAAGAAACAAACGGTGATGAGTACTCTTGGTTACTATGCATATATAGGAAAGAGTACTCATCCAGGGACAGTTCCATAGGAGATGGCCCCCTTCCTGGGCCCCATCCGGGAACCTAGGTGAGTTCCCAATCCTCAATTGCAGACTGGCATGCTGATATGTCGCCGAAAACCTCGACACATGAGAGTCTCCGCCCTATGGTCCAGTCACAAGGCATACTCGCGCTGGCACTTTCGTAAAAACATGTGGCAACAATCCAAAGCAGGATGCACATGACTGCAATCACAGTCCGAGCTTTGTTCAAAAAGTCGAAGTTCTAGAAAACTTTGGGAGTGCAGCGGAACGTAAAATCCCATTCGAGAGTACGTTTCGCCACACTGCACTCTGGAAGGGGCTAGGGCCCAAAGAAATTCTCCCATCGTCGCCCGAGGAAATTCGCGCTTTCGTTCCACTCATCCTCAGAATTGTTCCCTGAGGACGATTCCTTGGGGCCTTCCGCGGCCAGTTTCATACATCGACAAGCGGACGTGGGGGGGGGGGCGAGGTTGGTCCAGCAAGGTGTGTGCATGCGGACGTCGTTGGTCCAGCTCGGTTGGGGTCGCGAATCCGAAAGTTGGCGGCGAAAAAACAAAATGGCCACAAAAAAGGTGCGCAGTCCCGGATTCGTAATTCGAAATTCAAATTTCCGCAAGCGAGTGACGGCGGCGTGGGCGTCCCTTGCGGCTGACGGCAGCAACGTTCCTCGGCGGAAGCGTTTGGGTACGGGGTGGTGGCTGCGTGTCGACGGGCACGCCGAACATACATGTACACGTCCAAAGTAGCAAAGACACCGTCACACGATCGCCATCGTTGTCGTCTTCGCAGGCGCACCTTCGCCGTCGACGTGTAAGCTGTGCACTCCGGTTGTCACTCGCAGCATCGCTGTTGTGCGCCCCGACACACGTGGAGTCTTCTGTACTTGGCGACGCCCACGTCCACAGTACCAGTTTCGTCGATGGACATGAATGGGGAGGCGGGCCGTGACATACTGAGCAAGGCGGAGAGGACGGCGGTGGCAGCGGCCGTTAACGCCGTCCTCTTCCGGTGTCAATTGCAGAGGACCGAGGGGAGGATGAGAGCGGCCATTCCCGCACGGCGGAAGAGGACGCTGCAGTCCATGAATGTGGACGCAGAGGTTGCAAGTGCGGTGGCAGGTGCACGTACCCAGACCGCTCCGACGGCCTTGAACTCCCCGACAGGCTCTGCCCAGCCCGCTGCCCACCACCCTGCTCCCCTGCAGACCTGCAGATCGCCTGGCGCCCCTCCATCCTGACATCCTTCTTCAAAACCCGTCTTCTGCGGGCACGTTGCGAAACGCTGCCGAGGATGCACACGTGGAAGACAACTAAGAGGAGGAGCAAGAGGACGACCAGCACCAGCAGCGGTAGCCTCTGAAAGATGTCGGCCATGAAAGGCACGTGGACGACGGCAGCAGCTAGAAGACAACGGTGGACGTCCAGGAAATGGCGAGGGACAGTGGTGCAAACGGTCGATCGCAGCTATCGACAAAAGCAGGGAAACGTATTCCGTCGTGGAAGACACTGTGCAATGGGGACAGCGGGGGCCGGCTGAAGTATTCGAATCTGCCGACCGTTGGGCGTCTTCCCGCTAGGGGCCAAGGGCAGTGATGCAAGGCAGCCCCTTTTCGACGTCGTGGAGGCCGGCAGGCCCCCAAAGGGGACCGTTGGCGGACAATTCCATGACGCCAACCGTTGCCGACCGAAGATGTCCGTCCACGCGCCGCCAGGAACAGCAATGGACCAACCACGTCGAAAATTGTCGTCGACAGATCTGCGGTCGACACCCCGATTCTTCCAGATGCTCGACCTCCAAGGGACCTCGGGAGGTCCCTTGGGGAACGCATCGAAATGGCTGTAGCCCGAGGAATCCCCGAGGAATCCCTGAGGAATCCCCGAGTAAATGTTTTCACATTTTTTTTTCAATTTCTTCCCCGAGGATAAGTGGAATGATGATTTCCTCGGGGGATTTACATGCCCGAGGAGTGTCAAACGAGCCCCTCTGTGTGAAACAGTCCGTTTGTTTGTCCCGTTGAGCTCCACTCCCAAATCTTGGATGAAACTCCGAGGTCCCAAGGAGCTCTTCCAAAAATGAACATTTGCAGGCTGTGGTTTCGGGAGGAGTGCTCTTGGAGTCTTGGGAGCCACATTCTGACAGCTCGCGAATTCAATCTGACAGATCAATTTTCTTTTTTTTCCCCTTTTTCAGAGTTTTCCCCTCAAAATTCAGGTTTCGTTTTATGACAGATAAAATTCCGGAGCTGGTGTGGAGACGCTGCACTCCGTGCACTGCACTGCTTGAAACAGCCTCTCTCTCTCTCTCTCTCTCACACACACACACACACACACACACACACACACACACGCACAGACACACACACACACACACACCGAGGGGCGGTCGCTTCGTTTTTACTTCCTCTTCCCTTTCTACTTTTTCTGTCACTTGACTCTTCATCTCGATGTGAAAACTCTCTCTCTCTCTCTGAGGGCGTGCTCGGACTACGACAGTCTCCTACTCAAGCTCTGGACGTGATTACGGTCAATTCGTCCACCTGTAGCCGCAATTGTGGTCAGATACAGTCAGAAAAGTCGAACATGCCCTCTACGTGAGCAGTACCTCTTGGGGCCCGTCATTTCTTGGTGCGACTGTTCGTCAACTTGAAACTGCTTCACACTTCGTCGTCTATTTTGTGTCCCGCTTGTTCTCAACGTGAATAAATTCACAGCTGCAGCCATAGCGCTCAGCTCGGCAGTCGAAGATAGAGAACGCGGAAGAGAGAGGAGGCGGAGGACGAAGAAGGGAAGGCAACTCCATGCCAAGGAAGCGCAGGGAAAGCTGAAGGCGGAGGCTGGGAGGGGGCCAAAAACGGGGGAGGGGGGGGGCGAAGAGGGGAGAGAAGCAGGCGGAAAGACGGCGGAGAACCCGTAGTAGTAGTGAGGTGAAGAGACCGCGAGTTCTTTGGCGCAGCCACGCGGAAGAAGAGGGGGGGGAGGGGGAGGAAGGGGGAAGACGGCATTGGCGATTTGGCACTAGCCGGGGATAATCGACGCGGGCGGGCGGAACTTCGCCGCGGAGGGGGGTCGATATTGTCTGAGGTTGCGCAGCCAGCCGGCTATCTGCTTCGGTAGCTAGGAGTGATCATCATCATGGGGGAGGAGGTTTGTCATCCCGTCATTCCGCGCCGAGCGCTTGGCTCGCAAGGGATGATCACCTCAGCGCAAGGGCTGGGGTGCATGGGGATGAGCATGTTCTACGGGCCGCCGAAGCCAGAGGACGAGATGGTGGCGTTGATCCGCCGTGCCGTCGACCTCGGAGTGAGCTTCTTCGACACGTCGGACTTGTACGGACCCCACACGAACGAGCTTCTGCTGGGGAAAGCTCTCGCGCCGGTGCGAGAGAAAGTCGAGATCGCGACCAGCTGCGGTGTCAAAGTCTGCCCCGAGAAGGACTACGTAGCCGACGGCTCCCCGGCGCACGTGCGCAAGGCGGTGGAGGGCTCTCTCGAGCGCTTGCAGACTAGCTACATCGACCTGTTGTTCCTGCAGCGAGTGGACTCCAAGTTCCCCATCGAGGTGACGATGGGGGAGATGAAGAAGCTGGTAGAGGAGGGGAAGGCGAAGTACTTGGGGCTGTGCGAGGCCTGTCCGGGGACCATCCGCCGCGCGCACGCCGTTCATCCGCTCACCGCGGTAATGGTGGAGTGGTCGCTGTGGGAGCGCAACGGGGTGGAGCCGGACGTGGTCCCGCTCTGTCGGGAGCTGGGCATCGGGATCGTCTCCTACAGTCCGCTCGGTAAAGGCTTCTTCGTCGGCAAAGGCATACTCGATCAGTTCGAGGAGGGGGATTTCCGCCTCACCGACCCCCGGTTCGTGAACCTGGACGCGAACAGGGTCTTCTACGACAGGGTGAAAGCGCTGGCGGACGCGAAGGGGGTCAAGCCGGGCCAGCTGGAGCTCGCGTGGGTGCATCACCGCGGGGAGGACGTCTTCCCCATCCCCGGGACCACCAAGGTGGAGCATCTGGAGGAGAACATCCAGTCCCTGGCCATTGCCCTCTCGCAAGAGGAGCTGCAGGCGCTAGAAGCAGCCGTGCCCAACGAGGAGGTGGTCGGGGACCGCTATCATTGCAAGCACTACGCAATGACGTGGGACCGCCACCCTGAGCTGACCCCTCCGCTACACACATACACCGAAGACTGCCCTCACGTCGATCACGAGGAGTAGACGGGTGAGCTTCATCATTGCGATCCCGATGATGAGCTGGGTGATCATCCAGTCGGGATGATGACCCCGTTGATCAGTATCCTCGCGCTGGAGATTATAAGCCAGGTCATCCTCATCATCCTCATCATCCTCAGGATCCTCATCATCGTCATCATCGTCATCATCGTCATCATCGTCATCATTGATCTGATTGGAGGACGGGGAGGAAGGAATAGGAGAGGGGGAGGCTGTTCCTTTATTTCTATGATCTAGTGGGAATAGCCTCGGAAACAGTCTCGTACTGTATAATAGAAACAATTGGACATGAAGTGTACATCCTTGCGCAAGTTGAATGATCCTGTGCGCTTAAACAACATTATTCCTTCTTCCAGTTGCATTTGTTGTTTCTGAGATCTCGCCCCCTCCT